TCAAGAAAAATGACAGTTTTATAGACATTATACAATGCGTGACAAAAGAATAATAAATTGTATAGTAATTTTAATTATAAATAAACTATAATTAATCAACTTGTGAATAATAAAAATGATAGTTGAATTATTGAATATTATTATTGATTATAACAATAATAATTCAAAGTAAACCAAATAAACACCCGCACAAATATAATTAAATTGAACCAAGCATGAACAGCCTTGATTATACCATTTCATTTCTCATCTGCAACTTTCTCCTTCTCATGTCTGTAGTTAATGCCTGGGTACATTAAATTCAATCATAGGAGACAATGCTTAATATAACTTGTTTCTGATATCGACATTGCACCTTGTGATTGAGTTGTAAATTGTCTCGTGGATACCTGATGCTTCCATGCCAATAAATGATGGCTAGTGGTGTGCTTCTGGACATCTGAATCTCTCGTTTCCAATAATGATGACTTCACCATTTGATAGTTAATATGATCTCTCGATTTCTGATGATGAGGCAGCCTTCTGCATTTCTCTGTTGATGTCAAGAGAAATGTAGTAAACACTAATCTGTGTTTAAAGTTCACAAAATAATTAGTTTATGTATTTTATTTTTATTTTTAAACATGGAAAACAAGTCTTTTGTTTTTAATTTATTACTATGAATGGAACACAATTACGTGTACTTTCAGGAAATAATGATAAAAACGCTAGAAAAAATAAAATAATTTGCAACAATTTGTCTTGGATTATTATGTTGGTTTGTAGTGTTTTTATTTGAACTATAAATTCGATTGTAATCAATCTCTAATTATTCGACTATTTTTAAATTCTTCTTGTTTTTTTGTCAAGTATGTTTCTGTTTTTCGATATTATTTTTATTTTTATATACAACAACATTATATTATTATTTATTTAAATAAATATATTATTTAAATATTTATTGAAAGTAGAAGAAAAATATAATCGATACTTAACACAATCAGTTTAAGAAACCAATTTTCTTAAAACTATTATCAATTGTGTTGTTGTATTTATAAAAAATAATATAATCGTTTACTAATAAGTTTCTATTATAATTTTATATTAAAGTAGTTGTGTATATATTAAAAAGACGACAAAAAAGTTGTTTTGTTTATTTCGTTTTAATTGAGAAATTTGAATCAATTTTTATTTTTTTGATGGATTTCAAAAAGTAGCAATAGTATATTTTTACAATAATTTGTTTATTATTGTAAATTATTGTATATTAATTTGGATACAAGACAACAAAAAATACATTTATCCATCGAACGTTTGAAATAATTCCACTCAATGAAACATAAAAACAAGCTAATAATCCAATTTTAAATTAGTTTCACTAATAAATATAATCAATAACAACAATGAAAATTAGTTATAATTTGTATTATTTTAAAATAAATATAATCTAAAGTATAAATTAAATTTATAATGATTTTTTATTAATTTAAATTATTTTTATATAATACAAAAATGTTTAAAAAATTTATTCATTGATCGGTTTTTTATAGTAATATTATTATTTATTATATATATGTAAATCAATGTAATAGTATAATATGTTAAATTAAAACAGTAAATTTCTATCGCAAACATTTTTATCGAATTAAAAAACATAAACCTTATGCAAGAAGACGAGATTGTTGGCACATTTAAATGGAAGAAAGAAGGAGAAGCACCAAAAAGCTCACGACACGTTAAAGCTTCGCCTGATCCGACTTACTCGTTTGATCCCAAAGGAAGTAATTTAACTGAAGTTGAGTGTTTTAGGTTGTTTTTTTGTGAAGAGATAACAAATAACCTTTTATTGTTTTCAAATAAAAAAATAGCCAAAGAACATAAGACTGATGATAACAAACTTTCTAAAACGAGCATCCTGAGGTACCTAGGAATTCTTCTCTACATGGGAGCTCACCATGATGTCATTAATCCCGTGGAAGAGCTTTGGTCAATCGACCACGGAAAATCTATTTATAGAAATAGCATGCCACGTGACAATTTTAAATTCATTTCTTCACACATCGAAACTTACGATGTGGGCCAGCCAGATGATGTTTGTGATGATGCATCAGACACTTCAGATGATGGGGATGTCGAAGAGAAAGAGGAAGCTGACAACGGACCAGAAGGAGAGTATTTCAACTGCGCGGAATATTCAGATCGAGATTTCAGAGATCTCTCTGAAGAGCAACTCAGGAAAGATGTCAGAATCAAAAGGGGCATCGTTGGTAGTGGAGTTGTTAAAGTCGTCCCTGCAATAACTCCAAATGCACACGACAGCTTTTCTAAAATTAGAGTGATTTTAGATAAGTTTATTTCTAATCTTGTCAACCAAACCTATTACAAACCTAGTAATAGTGTTTCGGTTGACGAACATTTGTGTTTTTATAAAGGGCATATGTGTGCTAAGGTGTTTATTAAGTCTAAGCCTGGACGTTATGGTATAAAGTTTTGGGTTTGTTCTATTTTTACCAAATGAGTTTTATTTATGAAGTCAAAAATGACGGATAGTTATTATTGGTTTGACATGTATGATCAAATTTAATAATTTAATTATTTGTTTATTTGAGTTATTTATAGTTTTCTAACTCGTAGATGTGTGCTGACTGTGAGACAGGAATGACTCTAAACTTCCAAATGTACTGTGGTAAGTGTGGTGGTAAGGAGGACAATCAGGGCTTTAGAGTGGTCGGGGACATAATTCTACCCACGTTATGCCGTGGTAACAAGTTTACCGTTGTGTGTGACAACTTCTTCTGTACGTTAAGGTTGTCACACTACCTTGCTTCATGTGGGTGCCAACTTTTGGGAACCATGAGGATTAATAGGAAAGAACTTCCTGACGAAGCAAAGACCATCAAAGGGAGAACTCCCGATACCACCATCTTTTTCTCGAAAGGAAATTGTAAGCTCATCTCTTACTTCAACGAGAAAAAGAAGCTGGTATTGGTCTTGTCAACCTGCCACGAAAAGAATGAAATTGAAGTCGTCGAGCAGGATGTGTTCATTGGCAAAGAAAAAATGACAATACACAAACCCCAGCCCATTCTTGACTACAACCACAAAATGGGTGGGGTTGACACTGTGGATCAGATGACCAGGTATTATACGTGTAGACGTCGAACAAACAGGTGGAACATCAGGGCTTTATATGATATGATTGATATAGCTGCCTTAAACGCGTATAAAACGTACTCAAATTACCACCCTTGCAAACGAGTGGATTTTTTGAACAATCTTTCTGGTGCTTTAATGAAAATGAAATGATTTTTCTATTTTGTTTGGTTTTTTATAAAGTAGGAACTGTTTATTTCATTCAATACGTGCTTTTTTATTGAACTTCAAAAAAAATTATCGTGAAATAAAATAAAAATAGGGGTCATTATACCATTTTTTTTCTTTTTTACTTATAGATAAGTTTTTAAAAACTTGTGTTATAACAAAATCGTGATGTCTTTAATCAACACCATAAACAACCGTTGGTAAAGTATATGCATGAGTGTTATGGTGATAATGGTGTTATAATGGTGTTTGTTGATAATTCTATCAAATTGTAAATTTATTTTTACAAAACTATAATTTATTAAATTTCCATTTTTATAAATAATATTTTTTATTATATAATATAGTTCAAAATATTTTTTTATTATTTGTTAAGTTTTTTGCTATTTGTTTTTTTGTTTATAATTTCTATTATCCCTTTATTTTTAATTTAAATTATTGGTTTGTTGCCCAAAAATGCATAATTTTAAAATGCATAAACAGTGAATGCAAAATAAGCATTTGATTACCATATACAATAACATTTATATGAAAATGATAATATCAAATCAATTTTGCCCTTTGTTTTTGTTTGAAAATGATAAAAAAATAAAATAACAAATAATGAATTCATATCTTGCTTCTTTGACAGTGGCACGACTTGAAACTCAACGGGTGACCATAAAACCTCATGGTGATCAAAGTTTATACAAACGCGACTATATTGACTGTTTAAGTCATTTTCGAGAATTTTTCTCGATTTTGTGATTTTTGATACTTTTGAAAATGTATTTTAGATATTTTTTGTTTATTTTATACTTATGTTCTCTAAGATTTTTTTTCAAAGTCGGAACAAACAAAAGTTTCTTTACGTCTTATCTTTTTGTATCATAAAAAAATAGTAAAACCCAATTTTTTAAATTATTGTATTTTTCAAAGTTTACAAAAAAATCTATTTAATTTCCCTTGTTGTTGTTTTTGAGATCAATTGCATATTGAAATTTCAAGACACCTCAAAGTCTATGCGTTATTATTTTTTCTTTGTTATTTTATGATGTAATTGATTTTGAATAATCCGGACCAGTATGTTTTATGATGCAATTTGGTCTTTGTTATATTTTATAATTAATTTATTATCGTAATTGGTTGTGGACATCTCAATAAATTTTTGATCTGACTTTTCCATTGAACTGTGACTTGTTTCTGAAAGGATCAAGCAAAAAAGTGAACCTATGTTCATCCCAACTTCAACAAAAAATTCACTTTTTTTACTATAATTTATAACAATTTACTATATAAATTTACTAGAGCCGTAGTTCCAGGGTGTCTAGCTTTTTTTGAAAAAATTAAAGAAAAAAAGTCACATTTACATTACAATTGACTAAGATTTTTATTTTTTTACAAATTTTGATTTTTCCCTTCCTCGAAGGGTTAATACATAAAAAAGTAAGTTTTATTTTAATTATTTAATACTTTAATTTTTAAAAACGTTATTATATATATTTAGTATAGAAATTTAAATATTATGTAATGTAGAACTTTATAAATTTTTTGCATATATTATATAACCTTATTAATAGTATAATAATATTAACTAAAAACATTGAAAAATTTATTAATTTCAAATTATTAAATAGTATCAATTAATTAATTAATTAATTTCATATTTTATTAGTTAATACATAATAGTATAATATTATAAAATAATTAAATAGCAATATTTACTTCGAATATTCTTTTAACAAGTTTTCCAATTTTGCGCTTTTCTTTTTCTTTGTAATTTCTTCTTTCTTGATTTTAGTGTTTGGACTTCCTTTGTTTTTATCTTCTTCTTTGTCTTTACCAATTGGTGATGTCAATTTGCAACTAACTGTTTTCTTCTTGGCAATCAAAATGGGTTTCAACAATTTGCAATTTTTAAACACGTCATTCCCAACATTTTCCAAAACTCCATCAAACACTATTTCCCTCAAATTTGCGCAGTCTTCAAAGCAATAGTCTTCAACACATTTCACTTTACATGACATTTTTACACATGACAGCGCACTGCACAACATGAAGCATCCCCTTCGCAGCGTCTCAATATTATCAGGCAAATTGACTTCTTTCAAATTGATGCACTCA